GGAAGTTCTCAGAAGCCTGCCTTATGCCTGGACTCTTAAATTTTTGTTTGGCTTCTGCAGTTTCAAGTTGGGTGTTCTGGTACTTACAGTTCAAAACAACCTAGCTGTGAAAAGGACTCCGAATATGTCAAGCACTTTTATAAACTCATCATTTATTGAAACTGGAAAGTCTAGCATAAAGAGTTTAGGTTGAATTGGAAAACTTGCTGTTATGAAATTGTGAGGCAAAGATTACCATTGAAAGTTGCAACACAGACAACCAGAGAGCTGTTTCATTAGGCCAGGGAAGAGGCAGTTTATAATTACTGCCAGATTCTTGTTCCTTTCTCATGGATGCCAGGAGGATGAAATGTCCACTGAGGATGTAAGTGTTCTCGGAGGAGAGAAGGATATTTAAAGTTCTGGGCAGGTTCACAGTGTAACATAAACAATATTTCAGAAAACACTATTTTCTTTCTTCATGTGGTGGACAGCTGCAGCTCTGGCCTGCCCAGAAGCCATCTTGGTTTTTCTTTTGGGCAGGGGTGGGTGGGAAGCTAGCATCCCACTTATCTGTGTCAGTCTTCTCTACCTTGTGCCCTGTAATCTCGTGGGAACCGGCCACAGCTGATCCCATCCCTGACACTAACACCCAAAGGTGGGAATGTGTCTTCAAGCCACTCCAACTCTCACAGGAACTCAGATCTCTGGGGGAAATGATGCAAGAGGGAAACTTTTTGGAGTCATTCTTAAAGTGACCCCTTATAGGTTACTTGAGGGACCCAGAGATTGCCTTTTGGAAGCGTGAATCTAGGGGCTCTCAGGGCAGTTCTGTGTTTCAGCTATTGTGGCTTAGGTGTGCTGGGGGTTGCGTGGGGGTGGAAGCTTGGTTCTCTGTGTGTAGTGATCAGAGGAGGATGTGTGACTACAAGCCTGATATAAATTTGTTTATAGCCCTAAGCTCTCATATAATCAATTAGAAGAAGTTTATTGTGAATGAAAGCATATTTTGATAATATGTTTAACACATATATAGATAGCATTTATTGCATACAGGGCATTGCTTGTTTGATTACTCCACATTGTCATCTACTGGTATGGCAGACCTTTGTTTTTTGTTTTAGATTTATGTATTTTTATTTTATGTGTATGTTTTGTCTGCATGTATGTTTGTGCACCTTTTGTCTGTTGCTTGTGGAGGTCAGAAGAGGAGGCAGACTCCTTAGGACTGGGTTTCTGGAGAGTTGTGAGCTGCCATGTGGCTCTTCTGCAAGAACCAGTGCTCTTAGCCACCGAGCCATCTCTCAGTTGTCAGTCACAAGGCTAGTAAATTTCGGAGCCTTGACTCAGGCTGTTACTCTCTGTCTGAATAAAATGATATAGATGCAAAAAGAGCTGAATGCCAGGAGCAAGGGAACTGAACAGGGGTGGCCAAAAGCCCCTGGGTTCCAGCTTTTTTTTTTTTTTTTTTTTTTTGAGTTCATTGAAGACTACTTAGAATTTCTAAAGGGAAGATGCTCATCTTATTAGTTGACAAGTATGAGCCCGAACACCTGTCTTTTTCTTTTACTGCTGCTAGGTGATCCATGAGCATCCTTGGAACAATAAATTGTTGGAATCTGTGCTAAATAATTTCAGCTTCTAGAATTTACTTCCATTAAAATTGCTCATCATGTTGGGGGTATTTACAAAGCTGAGAGGGAAAAGGGGCAAGTAGGCAATTATAGCTTTGTTTATGGTTGCTCTGTTCCACAGTGTGAATTCTCTCAACCCATTATTATCTATTAAATACATATGGAATCAGCACTAAGTCATTTAACTCCAGGCGCTGAGCTCCTACTAAGGGTACTGTTCTAGGCTCTGGGGACATTGACAGTGAACAGTCAGATAAACCCCTTGCCTTCATGGTGCTGATATTTTTTGGGGGGCACTTGTGCTTTAGTTTGATCAGGAGGCTATTATTTTAAGGTATATGTTATGTGTTATAATAAAAACATCATTGAGTCTATGAAATGCAGATATGGCATCTCTATTTAATAGATAAGAGGACCAAGGCACACCAGTATGAAATAGCTTGCTTCAAATCCCACAGCCAGAAGTAGTCAAGACTTACTCCTGAATTGCAGAGTTCCAGGGTCTATATTGGCAGTCTGTTTTCTAGTCTCTCTCTCTCTAGATGTGGCTGGCTGAAGGAGGTCATCACAACTTATGTCACCACTGCACAGTTGAGAAAGTCTGGCTCTCTCCTGGCTCCTGATTTCAACCATCGCTACAGAGAATGAGTTTGTCTCAGGGCTGTGCTGACTCTCTGGGGGAGATGGCTTGGTGTCTATCCCCAAGCAGAGGACACTGTGACCGGATTGCCTCTCCAAGGTGACAATAGCTTCTTGGAGACAATGATGTTATGTGTCCCAGATTCATAGGAACAAACTGTTCATGCCATATACACTGAGGTACTTACCCTCACAACAAAGTGTGATCTATTATATTTCAGAAAGTTAATGATGACATAATTTTCTGATCCTAACTCCTCTGAAACTGAGATGTGTCTTATAGACCATGCTCTCTTATAATTGTTGTCAGCCAGGGAGTGTTTGTGATAGCCTGGCTGCCTGACGATGATGCATTAAATCACAGCTGTTTGTGCATACCTTTCCATTGCTCCCAGTGCTGGAGAAACCCCAGGACCTCACATATGTTAAAGCATGTGCTATACCACTGAGCTGCCTTCTAGTCCCTGCTAATATTTCAGTTGAATTATAAACAATGATGATACTGCATTTGCTGTTTTGTTTGTTGATTATGTTTTCACGGTTCTTGTTTATTGACATCTGCTGCTGAGATCACTTTGCAGAAGAGAGTGCCAGTGGCATGAGATATATATCCATATCTATATCTATCTGTCTGTCCATCTGTCTGTCCATCTATCTATCTATCTATCTATCTATCTATCTATCTATCTATAGAGAGAGTAGAGAAGTAGCTAGGAGTATATTCATATATAGCCCTGTACTCATGCTAAAAACTGTTTTATTTTTTTTTTAAAGTAGGTCCTACTCGATGAACTATTGAGTTTATTGGGGTTAAGTACAGGAGTATAGGCAAAGAGTTATTTACAGGAATAGAATGACTCAAAGACAGCTGCATCACCAAAGCCCATCCCACATGGGTATCAGCTCACAAACACTGGGAGTCCTGCAGCTGTCAGTCCTACAGGTAGCTCAGTTGGTTTGAAACTTCTCTAGGAAGTTTGGCTGATCTATCTGCCTCTTCTAGGCAGTTTGGTTGGTCCAAGAATGCCTCTTAAGCTTGGGAAAGGAAGGGCCTAAAGCAGCTGGTCAGATTCAGGAACTTCCTGAAGATAAAAACCGTTTCTTCATCCTGGAAGAATGATGCTGGAAGTTTAGTTGTTCTTTCTATTGTCTGAAACTATCCCCAAAGGCTAATTCTCATTGTATGGACAGTAATCATTTGGGGAAGACCCTGATAGGAATCTATCTATTTATAAGGTTTCCCATAATTCTACTTTGTCTGACTTGAAATATGACAAAATTTACCCACAGGTACAGTACCTTTAAAACTCAATTTAGACCTGAGTCTGTTTGTAAATTAATATGCATAAAGGCATATCTAGAACAAACCTACTTGTCTATATGTAAGCATGCTATTCAACCAAGGCTGGTTGCAAACTCAGCATCTTTTAGGATGCATGCAGAGTAGCAAGGTAGTCTCTGTATTTATATGTCGGATTTAATTAGTTCAAAGATGCTCATTTTTCCCACATCTTACTCTCCTAAAATTAGGATTTCACTATAGAAAGGTCTGATAGCCTTTCTTTGGCAGCATCTTTCTTTCTTGTTGATATGTGATGACAACTGTAGAGCTGGTAGTGTTTTAGATACAGTGATGTAAATGAGAGTCAAGTTCCTAGAAGCAGAGCCTAAGCTATATTGGGGTGTTTATAGTAGTTCATTTTCTATGACAATAATGAGATACCCCAGGCTGGGTACCTTATTAAGAAAAGATGTTTACTGAGCTCACAGTTCAGCAACTTCTGTTGGGTTCTGGTGAAGGCTTCATGGTGAATAGCCTCACAAAGGCAGGATGACATGTGGGAAGAAACGATCCCATAGCGATATAGGAAACCAGATTTTTTGGGGGAAGGGCTGCTCAGCTTCCTGTTCAGTGTCCACACAATACAACTGCTTGAGCGGAACAGGATCATGGCTTCTGGTGAAGCTAGGAGGAGTGAATGCATTCTGATGTGGTGGGATTTTCCAGCTGAGTGTTCTCAGGCTGCCACCAACAAAGGACAGAACCTGTGAGAAGCCACAACTACTGAGGGTGAAGAGCTATTCTCATAGGAACATGGCAGATCTAGCTTCTAGAAGAACCCATCATTCTAGATTCCACCCTGGGCACAGCACAGAGGCACAACATATTTCCCCTGCCTGACATTTCTGGAACCCTACCCACCCTCCTTTTATCTAATTTCAAGTAACTTTTCTTTCTTTTTATTTCCTCCCCCTTCCAGGAACTTAACTTCAAAAAGAAATTGGAGATTTGCCATGTCACGTGGATGTAGCATGAATAAATAAATGGACCCAGAGAATGATATTAGGGTTCAAACTTCAAGCTCAATATCAGAAAAGCAAAGCAGCTGGCCACTAGCTCTCACCTCAGGCTGAATGGGCTGGTCCTGTCTCCATGAGCTCTCACTGAGCCTCAGACTGTAACCTTTCTTCAGTGTTGCTGGAGAATGAATGCCTCTTTGACACCTTGCTTCTGTCTTATATACTTTCCTAATGTTGAGATTAAAGTTGTGAGATATAACTTTTAGACTGATTCACTCTTGTATAGATCTGGGAGGCATTGGACTCACTGAGATCCACCTACCCCTTAATCCTGAGTCCTGGGATTAAAGGTGTGTACCACCACCTCCTAGCTTCTGGCTGCTTGGATTAAAGGTGTGTGTGCCTGGCTTTATGGCCAGTGACTGACTTTGCTTTCTGAATCCTCAGGCAAGCTTTATTAAATCATAAACAATATAATAACACAAATCCCCCTTTTTTGTCTAATGCAAAAAGAAGAAGGCTACAACTAATATAAGAAAAACTATAGCCTCCCAAGATGTCGAGTCGAGGACATGGTGGGTCCTCTGGAGCAAAATTCCGGATTTCCCTGGGTCTTCTGGTAGGAGCTGTGATCAACTGTGCTGATAACACAGGCGCCAAAAATTTGTATATCATCTCTGTCCAGGGCATCAAAGAACAACTGAACAGACTTCCTGCTACTGGCGTGGGCAACATGGTGATGGCTACAGTTAAGAAAGGCAAACTGGAACTAAGGAAAAAGGTCCATCCAGAGGTGGTAATTTGACAATGAAAGTCGTATCAAAGAAAAGATGGGGTGTTTCTTTATTTTGAAGACAATACAGGGGTCATAGTAAACAATAAAGGTGAGATGAAAGGTTCTGCTGTCACAGGTCCAGTTGCAAAGGAACATGCAGACTTGTGGCCCAGGATTGTATCCAATGCAGGCAGCATTGCATGATTCTCCAGTGTATTTGTAAAATATATTCATTAAAAAGTCTTTGCTTTTAAAAAAGAAAAACTATATACAATATTACAATAAGTATATTCAGTATATACAGGCAATAAGTTCATCAATAATATCTAATCCGTTTGCATTTTGACAAGTTCAGAGAAAATATCTAGTTCATTTGCATTTGACAAATCAGAGAAACTACTTCATTATCTATCCTAAATTGGTGAGTCCACAGTCTTGTGCCTAATTTACTTTCTATTCTAATTCAGATTATCAAATTATCTTTTCATGTCTGTCAACTTTATATACTTTACATTTCTTTAGTGAGTTTCTTTCCTGAGTCTGGTAAACAATGAAAACTATAACTATACTGTATAGTTTTCAAATCCCTCAGAGACCCGAGAAGGAAATATTATTAACTGAGTAAGCAAGAAGTTCAAGTAAGCTACTTCCAAAAAATGTGAGGAATGATAAAAATAGCTGGCTGCCTAGACAGTCACCCAGGGTTCCTCTGCAACGTTGGGGCATCCATCTTTGGCCTATAGGCCTAGGATCTCTGACAGTCTTCTGTGAAGCAGTATTTTCTGAAAGGTTGTCCTGCCTTGTCTTGGCAAGGTTTTGTAGTCACTCTCTTTGTGTACTGTTTGTTCATTTTGGACAGCATACTGTTAGCAGTCAAAGAAAGGACACTTTCTTGCCCAGTGGCTTACCTTTGCCACAAAGAAAAATTCCATGTGGGTTTCTTCGATGCCCAGAATCTTCTCTTAAGTATATTGGAGCTGCCAGGAGCAGACATGTCTCATTGCTATAAAAACTATTATTAAAACATTTTAAATGCCATATTCTGTAGAAGTGCTTGAAGATGACCTGTATTTCTAAAATATATCTGTTTGTCTTTAAAAACATACCTAATGTGATTACAAGTTCGATTGTAATAGGTGACTAACTACTTACCTACATTTCCTTATTATCTTATATAGTTGGTAATAACTTTCAAGGACTAGAAATTTGCATTACATTGGTAAATGAGCTGTATAGGTACAATACCTTGATCAATACTTTAGAAACATCTGTACAATATGTCTTAACAAATTAATCTCAAATTTGTACCAATGTACAAATTTGTATACAATATACAAAAATTGTATACAATATACAAAAGTCCAATCAAAGGTAAAATACCTAAAACAAGTAGTTGTTTTTAGAAGTAGATTCAATACTCTACCTTTTTAATATCATCATATCTATACTTTTTCAGTTTCTATTATTTTTTAATTTGAATTATAAACAAGATTGTTTTACATGTCAATCCCAGTTCTCTCTCCCTCCCCTCCTCCCTTCCCCACAACTAAAACCCTACCAATCACATATCCTTTCTGTTACCCAGGGAGGGTGAGGCCTTCCATAGGGGTGTCATCAGAGTCTATCATATACTTTGGGATAGGGCCTAGGCCCACCCCCGTGTATCTTGGCTCAGGGAGTATCCCTCTATGTGGATTACGCTCCAAAAGTCCACACCTATGCTAGGGATAAGTATTGAACTACTAAGGAGGTCCCGTAGATTTCCGAGGTCTCCTCACTGAAACCCATGTTCCTGGGGGTCTGGATCAGTCCCATGCTGGTATCCCAGCTATCACAGAAAGTTCTGGAAGGAAAACTGCAACCCAAGGAAATTTACATACAAGCAGAAAAATATAGGCAATAGATAATCCCACTTTACCACAACCAAAAGAAAAAAGGGATGGAAACTCACACATAATTTCACCACCACCACCAAATCCAAAACAAACAAGAATTAACTATCAATGGTCATTAATATCTCTCAGTATTAATGGTCTTAACTCGCCCATAAAAAGACACAGGTTAGCAGAATGGATAAGAAGACAGAATCCATCCTTCTGCTGTATATAAGAAACACACCTCAACTTCAAAGACAGATGGTACCTAAGAATTAAAGGTTGGGAAAAGATTTTCCAATCAAATGGGCCCAAGAAGCAAGTGGGGGTAGCAATCCTAATATCCAACAAATTGGACTTTAAACTAAAATCAATCAAAAGAGATGAAGGAGGTCACTTCCTACTCATCACAGGAGAAATCCATCAGGATGAAGTCTCACTTCTGAACATTGATGCCCCCCAAAATAAAGGCATCCACGTTCATAAAAGAAACATTACTAAAATTCAAATCACACATAAAACCGCACACACTTATAGTGGGAGACTTCAACACCCCACTCTCACCACTGGATAAGAACACCAGACAGAAACTTAACAATGAAACAAAGGAACTAATAGAAGTTATGGCCCAATTGGGCTTAACAGATATCTATAGAACATTCCAACCAAATGCAAAACAATTTACCTTCTTCTCAGTGCCACATACTTGGCAACATAGCAAACCTCAACAGTTAAAAGAAATTAAAATAACCCCCTGTATCTTATCAGACCACCATGCTTTAAAGTTAGAATTCAACAGCAACACAAATTGCAGAAAACCTACAAATTCATGGTAATTAAGTAACACCCAATTGCACAATTCATGAGTTGAGGAAGAAATAAAAAAGAAATTAAAGATTTCCTAGAATTCAATGAGAATGCAGACAAAACATACCCAAACTTATGGGACACTTTGAAAGCAATGCTAAGAGGAAAGATCATAGCGCTAAGTGCCCACATGAAGAAACAGGAGAATAATCACACTAGAGCATTAACAGCACAACTGAAAGCTCTAGAACACATATCTATACTTTTTAGAAATAGATTCAATAATCTACCTTTTTATCTTATCCTATCTACAGTCTCCCCTTTTTCTTTTCAGAGTAGATTCAATAATCTTATCTTTTTATCCTATATCTGTATTCCCTCTTATTTTTCAAAACAATGGCCCATGGCTGACTTTGCTTTCTGACTCCTCAGGCAAGCTTTAATAAATCATAAACAATATGTCGCCACACATGGGCTTGCCATTTAAAGACCACTGGGAGGAGCAGGTGCTGACCATAAGGAAATGGATGCTCATGAACTTGGGGCAGTTTAACACATTTGTTCAAATCGTGCCATGTAGTTAAACTTCTCATAAAAACTGTGTGCACCAAAGGTCAAATAAGGAAACAATAGAAATGCATTGGGAAGGTTTAACTTTGCTCGTACTGCTGACAGACCTGCCTGTGCCACACTTGCAGTAATTCTTTATCTTCTGCCATTCTGATTTTAGATCTTAATTTTTCCTTTTTTTTTTTTACATTTATTTATTTGTGGGGTGTGTGTGTGTGTGTGTGTGTGTGTGTGTGTGTGTGTGTGTGTGTGTATGTAACAACTTGTAAGAGTCTGTTCTCTCCTACCATATGAGTTTGCATTGGGCAGGCGTGGTGGCAAGTACCTTTACCTGATGAGCCATCTCACCAGCCCTAATTGGGAGCTTTTTGCAGAAGAGATAAGGGCTAAGGTGGATGGCCTTCTCAGACCCTGCCAATGATGTAGATCAGGACACAGTAATTGTAGTATATTTATTTTCCCCATTGCACTAATGACAATGAATACAACTAACAATTGCTAAAGCCTTTTAGTTCCTAAGCCTTGTAAAAAAAGGAGATGGGACAGCTTTGCTGGTTAATAAGATAAATCTCAATTTTTCTATTCTTCTTACTTCATATTTGAATTGACCTACAATAAATGTGAAAGTGGTTAAAGATACAGATTGGCCACTTACACCTTCATAGAGTTACATTTGGTGTTAAGGAGACCTTGGCTCAGTGTAAGTCTGTCACAGTTAATTGTCTAGAGCTACAGAGTCACAAGAGGATAGAGGCACCGTGTTTAGAAAAGCGAGCACTAGTGGGGACTTTGATAGTTTTGAGTTAAAGTAGTAAAACATGGAAATAAAAGTTGGATGACAGCTGCAGCTGATTAGACTAGGGATGAGTGAGGCCTTAGACATGGTGAGTGCAAGTCAGCCTTGGTGGGTTAATGGTCACATGGAAATCTAAGGCAGGGCAACTCAATAGATCTGCTCAGATCAATGCCTTCAAGGAGGACTCAATATCTCAGCAGAATATCTCCTGAGCAATGTGTGGAGAGATGTTTATACACCCAAACTACTCTTCACTCTCTGAGTGACTACTTCATTTCTCTGGAATTTCTTAATAGAAAATTCATATTGGTGTATATTCACAGTACATAGTGATGGGGTTCATAGACTTTTCATATATGCCATATGCTTTGACTGTATTTATTGAAGTAAATACACCTTTCCATTCCTATCTCCCTGTCATTCTCATTTATTCCCCGAGAAAGCTTCTCTTCCACCTTTTTGTTCCATATCCACCCATTTATGAATCATGTATTTCCATAAAATCCAGGATCCAAAAATGAGGATTTGTGCTGTTTGTGTTTCTGAGTCAGAGTCATTCCATTTAATAGGATAATTTCCAGTTGTATCCATTTCTCCTGAAAATGACATCACTTTTTATGGCTAAATAAAATTCCACTGTGCATACACAGCACATTTTCTTTATCCATTCATTTCATGGTAGGTATCTTAGTTACTTTTCTGACACTGCGACCAAGGCTTACCATTTCAGAAGGTTAGGGTCTGTGACCACGATGGTAAAAGGCATGGCAGCAGACAGGCAGGCATGGTGCTGGAGCAGTAGTTAAGAGCTGGTGTGTTGAGACAATGACCATGAGGCAGAGGGAGAGAAAGAGAGGAGAGAGAGGGTGGGAGAGGGAGGGGGAGAAGGAAGGAGAGAGAGAGGGAGGGGAGGGAGAGAGGAAGAGAGAGAGTGAGGGAAGGAGGGATGGAGAGAGACAGAGGAGGGGGAAGGAGAGGGAAGGAGGGGGAGAGAGAGGCAAACACTGCAAATATGGAGGTCTCTCAGTGGTTTCCTTACTTGGAGTCCATCTATTGGGAGTGGCATAGCTGATATTTCTCTAGAATTTCCTATCTGCCCAAACTTAGTCTATAAATGACTCATAAGGAACAAAATACAGTCATTTACAAACACTATGTTTTCCTCATACCTTACCATTCTGTGGTTAAACATAGTC